ACCTGGAATGCCTGATGATTATGTGCAAATGATGCAGAGGTGTTGGGATGTGGATCCATCAAAAAGACCAACTAGTAAAGAGCTTTATGATTTTGCTTATGATATAAATAGTGAAATTATTAATGATAATAGTAATAATGGTAACAATACTATTAGTAGTGGTAGCAATGCTTCACAAGCACACAAATCACATCCAGATGCATATCATAAAAGTAGAATATTAGATGACGAGATTGCTAAATCTAAAAGCTTAAAAATTTATACAAGTAATCATAGTTCATTAAATAATCTTGGTTTCAACTCTTTTCCCTAGAATGTTAACAAAGGTGAATAAAATTTCATTATTAATCAATTGGAAATTACCATCCATTAATTGTTACTAACAACATTAATTAATTAATAAACATTAGATTCTAGTGATAATTGTCAAAAGAAAGAATAGATTTAATCTCCACTATAAATTTATTATTATCTTTTTATTTATTTTTTTATTTATCTTTTTATTTTATCCTTATTTTGTTTCTCAAAGCTAAATTACAATAATGTTATGAAATAATAAATTTTTTGCATTTTTTTTTTAAATGATGATATTGTGAGGTGTCATATAATTACGGCTTAACTTTTGGGCTACCCTTGTCAGTTAAGAATAACTCTCAATAATTCGGTGCTTGTCAATTAACTAGTTTACGAATTACTTTGGTTCTCGATCACTGCACCTAGAGTACACTTAATGGTACCAAATAATTGTAATAAATAAAGATGGCCCTTTTGCAATACTACAAAATTCTTTTTATTCATTTGTGATCAATTTGTTTCAGCTGTTTATATTTATTGGCGATTGGAATCTTGCCTTGGTTTACTTTGTCAAAGAACTTAAGTAGCTTGTTCAACAGCCTTACATTTACGATTGCAATAATATTACCAGTATTTCCAATTAACCTTTGGACGATACTTTATTAACAACCACTAGTTAACCAACGTTAGTCCACCTTTGCTACTAATCGTTGTTGACATTCACCAGTTAACCAATGTTAGTACTTACTTGTTCACTAAAGCAAATAAACGTGACTTTTTACCAAAGCTCCACGATTGTTGCCTTTTACCGTGGCACTAACTACGCTTGTTGCTTTATCAAAGCGCTTTAAACAAAGAAAATAAAGACAATGTTTTTTATCTTTAAAGAGTTTATTAACAATTAATTATATTTAATAAAAATAATGATTCTATCACAGTTTTATTTTATTGGAATGTTAATTATCTATTATTTTCCCCTGCGAGGTCCTGAAGTTATGCCTTTTCAAGCGAAAACCAGAAGTTATCCTTGATGAAATTTTCATTGATCACTACAATAAGGACAAAGATAAAGATGAGTTTATTATTGCAATAAAAACTTCCATAATTACTTACACAGTAAATTTGATGATTAAAAAAGCTTTTGCGTAAATTAAAATTAGTTGATCTTGGAATATAAAGTACCGAATCCTAATACTAATACTAATTGATGGTTTTATCTACTCCGATCATGTATCACGCTATTAATATAAGACATGTCAGAGTGGGAACTGAATTTGTATTCAGCAAAAGAAAAACTTGGCTCTTTGGGAACAATTGATGAAACAAGGAGAGATTTGAGATACTCAAGAAAAATATAAAAAAAAAGATCTTGGAACATAAATTTACAAGTTTTTTTTGTGAGCTGTTATGTTTATTAACCTTTAAAGCAATTTTTTTTTGACTTAATGGTAGCGAATTTGACGTAATAGTTTTACAACTTTGGTAACATTTCGTCAAACAACATTAATCGCTAGTCGAGGTCAATCAATCAATCCAGATTGAATTTTAATATTAAAGCAATCTGTTATAATAGTAATCACGAAAAACTCTCGAGAATTTTTTTTAAAAATACGCGTTATAGATTAAAATTTTTTTTCTGATTGGTCAATTAATATTTATTAACCAAATATAGCCCGTTAATCATTTCCAATTTTTTTGATAATAATTTCAACATGGAAATTGAATCTTCAGAGTGAGTATTTTTCAATGCTCGATCATTTTGTCAAGGAAATAAATTGGCTTTTGAGTAATCGTATATTTGTTTTGTTTAAAATATAAAATAAACAGTGTAATCCGTTTAATACTTCAATTTTTAAGAGAAAATAATCTTCCAAACACTTTTGCTGCTTTGCAAGTTTGTATATCAATTATTCAAATAAATTATCTTTAAACTTGTATGTATTCATAGACTTATCTTGCCTTTTAATTTTCCAGGAAGAATCAACCATTGCACTTAATACTGTGGATTCTATTGATTCATTTACCAATGAGATTATACAAGGGCACTGGGATGTTGTATTAAAAACAGTTTCTAATCTCAAAATACCGCAAAAAAAATTAATTGATCTATATGAACAGGTTTTTATTGTGTACATAAATTTACGCATAATAATTTAGTTTCAAGTATTTGTAAAAAAAAGAATTCATCGATCCTACTTCAGATTGTTTTGGAACTGATAGAAATACGTGAATTGGGTGCTGCAAGAACTTTGTTAAGACAAACTGATCCAATGCAACTGTTAAGAGATCATCAATCTGAGCGTTATCTACATCTTGAACATTTATTATCCAGAACTTGGTTTGACCCTAAAGAGGTTTTTAATATTAAATATTTAAGAAAAAATTATATTCATTATTGTTTAAATATAATGTGTATATATATATATGTATGTTATTTTATTCAGGCGTATCCGCCTGATATGACCAAAGAAAAAAGACGTCAAATTATAGCACAAGGTTTTTTATTTTTTACACTATTTATTTTTTATATATATATATATATTATTTATTTCCTATATAATAATTTTATATTGACTTATTGATTGGTTGATCGATTAATAAAATTCAGCCTTATCTAGCGAAGTGACAGTGGTTCCACCGGCAAGACTTTTATCATTACTTGGACAAGCTTTAAAATGGCAACATAATCAAGGTTTATTACCACCAGATACTGCTTTTGATTTATTTACGGGTTCTGCACCAACTGCAAAAGCGGAAGATGATGCTATACCAACTAAATGTTACAACACAATTAAAGTACAATTTATTTATTTTTTCAAAAAAAAATTATAATAGACTTTTTTAACCAATATTTACAACATGCCGATAATTATTATTTTATATAAATACATATATCTTTTTTTATATATTACGAATTTAAAGTTTCCTAAGAAGCAACATGTTGAAGCAGCAGCATTTTCGCCTGATGGACAATATTTGGTGACCGGTAGTATGGATGGGTTTATTGAAATTTGGAATTATTTAACTGGCAAATTAAGAAAAGATTTCAAATATCAAGTGGAGGTTAATTAATCATAATTTATTTATATGTGTGTACGCGCTATTTTAACTAATTACCATTATTTATTTAATTTAGGATAATCAAATGATTATGGAAGATCCTGTATTATGTCTTAATTTTAGTAAAGATTGTGAAATGTTAGTTTCTGGTGCACAAGATGGTACAATTAAGGTTATTTTTGTTCAAAAAGAATTATTTTTTTTAAAAAAAAAATAAAAATAAAACAATAAATAAATATTTACGCAAACATAATATGTATATTAGGTTTGGAAAATTTCTACAGGTCAATGTACTAGAAGATTTTCACCTGCTCATAGTCAAGGTGTCACATCGGCATGTTTTAATCGTGATGGAAGCCAAGTATTAAGTGCAAGCTTTGACCATACAATCAGGCAGGCTATAACAAATTAAATTAATTTATTATTATTATTTATTAGACCTCTTATACATATAATTATTCTATTATTTTATAGGCTTCATGGATTAAAATCTGGTAAGACATTGAAAGAATTTCGTGGGCATTCATCATTTGTTAACAGTGCACTGTTTTCTTATGACATGTCAAGAGTTATAAGTGCTAGTAGTGATGGTACAGTAAAGGTATTTATTAATAATAATAAAAATATTATTAATGTTGTATATTGCAGCCTTTTTGATGATATTGAAATTTAATGGTTGTTTTATCTTTAAAGATTTGGGATAGTAAGTCAACGGATTGTTTGCACACCATTACACCATATGGTAGTAAATCTGAACCCGGTGCAACTATTTCAGGAGGTAAAACCGTGAATTGTGTTGTTCAAATGCCAAAAAATATGGATCAAATCCTAGTATGTAATAGAAGCACCACAGTATATTTAATGAATTTGAGAGGTCAGGTTTGTATATCAATCAATTTTAATTTGTTTTAACTTTTGACTTTTTTTTAATGCATATATAATTTATATCGTATAATAATTAAAAAAAACCCCCCAATTTTTTTTAAAAAGATAATAAAATCGTTTACTTCTGATAAGAAATCTGGAGGAGATTTTATTAGTTGCACAGTGTCACCCCAAGGAGACTTTATTTATTGTGTTGGTGAAGATTTTCATTTATATTCTTTCAGTATACAATCTGGCAAGCTAATTTCATCATTGAAGGTAATTAGTCATTTAAATAATTTCATATTTAAATTAAAAAGAATTATTTTTAATAATGATGATGATGGATAATTATAGTTGTCAGAAGCAGAAATTATTGGATTAATTCATCATCCATTTTCTAATATTTTGGCTACTTATGCTGATGATGGTGTTATCTCACTGTGGAAACCGTAAATTAGCAAGTATGAAATTTCTTATTTACATATATAGTTTTTTTAAAATATTTTATTTGTAAAAATCCAAATTTCTAAAAAATATATATTAATTTAATAAATAGAAATACATATTATATATATTACACAGTATATATATATATATAATTATTATACAATAAATTTTTTATCATAATAAATTAATAAATTTACAAAAAAAAAAATAACAATAAAACCAATTTATATATTTATATATGTATAAACAAAACATTCATTAGTCATAAAATTTAACTTGATTTTTCTATTCCCTGAAATCTTTCTCTGGATTTATCAGCTATTTGTATGGTTGTTTTTGCTATTACAATAACAGGAAATATATAAACTGTATAAAGTAATGATATCACCACTGAGAAGAGAATCGTAACATCATCACGTGCTATATAAATATAAATAGTATAATTTAGCAATTTATTTATCATTATTATTATGATTTCTCTCTTTGAAATAGTATTAAACCTCCTTTCTTACCTCTGTCAAAAATAATATGTGGAAGAGATTTTAATGGAAGAGATTTTGGATCGTAAAATAATGTAGTTCGTGCCTTTATATATTACAAAGAAATCATAAAAAATTTATAAAAAGTACCAAAATTAGATTTAAAATTATATTGACTGAAATTAATTTATATAATTTACCTTTTCATTTTCATCCCTAAATGTTTTTTGGTAAATGTATAGATAGATATGTATTAATTTAATTTAATATCAGATAAATAATTTATTGAATTGTAATAATATAAATTGTTAAAAAAAAAAACTTACGATTTCTTTATAACTTGATTTTTTATAGTTTTGATTTCATTATCTTGTTCATTCATTTTAGTCGTTAATGTGGTTATTAGTTCTTCAACTTTATTAAGATGTTCAAATTGTTTTTGTTGTGTCTCTACCATTGCTTCAAATGATGGTATTGTTGAAAGTTTATCAGATTGTTCTTTAACAGTGGACTCGAGTGTACCAATAAGAGTTAAGAGTGATTTATTAGAAATTCGAAGATCAAGAAACTACAAACAAACAAATATATATAAAGTTATAAAGTATGAATAATTTATAATAACGATAATAGTGATAATAGTGATAGTAATGATAGTAATAATATATCACCTTTCTTTGAACTTTTGGATCAGATGATAAACTTATTAATTCATCCAGCTCAGCTTGGTCATCATCATCATCACCACCACCATCATCACCATCATCATCATCATCACCATCATCATCGTTGTCGTCGTCGTCGTCGTCATCATCATAATCACCATAATCATCATAATCATCATAATCATCATCATCATCATCATAATTCACTTTATTATTCCTTGAATCGGAATTAGATACGTTTAATTGTGTTGAAATTCTGACTTTTCTTGGTGTTTTCGTTATTGCATTGATATTATCGAAATCTCTCACAGCACTAGCAGCAATTTTGGGTGGTCTAGCTTCAGAAGGCTGTTGTTGCTGATGATGTAAATTTTGATTTTGATTATCGTAAATTGTTGATGTTGGTAAGTGAGAAGAAAAATTAAACGATTGTTTTTGATGTTGTTGATATTGTTGTTGTTGCGGATTGTATACATAAGGACCTGGATCACTATGATTTGTTAATTCAGTACGGTTGTCATATTGGCGATACGTAACTTCAGATGAAGTTCTAGGAGAGCCATTTAATGGTGACTTGGCAACAAATCTAGAATTGAGTTGATTATTATTATTATTATTATTATTATTGTTATGATTACCGTTATTATTACTGTTGTATTGTTGATACTGGTGTTGAGAAGAAAGGGGAGGTGAAAGAAGTGGAGGAGATAGTTGATTTTGATACTGATGTTGATGTTGTGATGTTTGGTAATGTTGTTGTTGTAGCGGTGGTGATGGCGGAAATTCCATGACAGATCTTGCTTTAACTTTTGGTTTTGGTGAAGTGTTTTGATCTTTATTAACATGAGCCATTTCAGAACGAATTTTTGATTGAGCAAAGGCGCTACTTGTAGTGTCAATAATTGAATTTTTAGGCCTTGGTTCAAGGAAAGGAAAATCTTTAATATTTTGTTTTGATGGGTTTTCAACACTCATATCTTTCCGCTTAGTTACACAGCGTTAGACCTGCATTTAGTCGTTTTCTCAAAATGGAATCTCGCAACAAAAGGACCCCGGATAATCGTATAGGGCACACGATAAGAGAGAGCGACAGTTTTTACCCCCATAAATATGTATACTATACATAAAATCCGTGCTCATCTTCACTTGTTAAATAATATTATTTCGAAGATTAATATATACTTTACAGGAACATTTGAATATCAATATCAGTTATTGGTTCTTTTGCACAAGAATGATAATTTCCTGTAGTCGAGTAATAATATAATGCTAGAAATTGAGCAAGGTGAATTTTAGAATTAATTAATGCAAAGGCAAATCCTCCCTTAATTGCTGGATATATTTACAATGTTGATGACTATGGTCGCTCGCCAAAACTCCTCCAGAAATCAATCGGCAGAGTTTCGGCAGGTTACACACTAATTGTTTAGGCAGAGTTTCGCATTTGGGGGTTTTGACAATTGGCAGAGTTTCGTCGGGTTGCCGTAAATGATTGGGCTGGTAGCTAACCTTGGAATAAATTATTCAAAATGGCAGATGATCTTGATTATGAAGATATTGCTACCAATTTAAAAGTCATTACCAATTTTCCAAAAATGGTGAAAATTCATAAATAAATAAAAAAACAACCAAAATATACAGTGTATAACAAAAATTATTGGAAAATTATTCTTGTTGTTTAAATGCATGCTTTGTGCTCAAATTAAGCCCAATTTGCATCATATTGCTCTATATAAGAAAAATCAAATCAAATGTCATCACATTTACATGTTAAATAATTTATCTAATCCCTGAAATTATTTCTTGGTGGTTTTATTGCTGTATGCCTCATATACAATTAATTATTATTTATTAATAATGTCTTTATAAAAAATCTAATAAAACTATACATGTACATAAAAAGGTTGATGCTTTGGCTGTGCTCCATGAACACGAAATCTATATAAACAAGTATAATCATAATTATTCCAATTACTCTTTATTTTCATCACTATAGCTCTTATTGGTACACCTAAATTATTCACTTCAAAAGTTTGTATGGAAGGTCCATCAATCTTGTAAACAAAATTCCCCAAAAATAAATGATTTGGTGATGAGCCAAGTTTTAAATCACTTCCACCAACACTTATATAACCTGAATTATTATTATTATCTGAATCATCCAGATCATTCAAACTATTTTTTGGTTCATATTTATCATCATGATTATTATGATTATTTAATACAAATTCCCCACTTTCTTGATTGTATTGATCATTTTTTTTAAACAGTAACTCATCATTTTGCCCTTGTTCCTGCTTTTCCTTTTCCTTTCCATAATCATCATCGCCTTGTTGATCACCAACTTTTCCCTGTTGATTATTATTATTATCATCAATATCATAAACAAAACCCCAAACCTCAAATTCTTTTGGCGCACTGGTAACATCCATAGCTAACTTTTTAGTCACATGTTCATATGTTACTGCTGTAACAAATATTTTTCTACTCAATAATATAGCTAATTGACCTTTTTCTCCAGAAAAAGGCCAACACTGACCAACATGCATTTCAGGTTGAATAGCTGTTGTTGGTGGTCTACCTCGTGTGATTCCATGACCAGTTACTGATGCAATAATTTGTTGAGACCACTTTGTAGGCCAAGTTTCATATGTTGGAGATGTCAACACACTTATGATCTTGGCACCACCTGATAAAAGAGCATAATCAGCTCTATTCAATTTATCCTGTGAATAGTCATGCAATTTCTCTTCTACTGTTTTATGAATTTCATTCCTAATTAGATTAGCAATCACATCATCAACAATATATCTTTGATAAGTTGTAACCTCATGATTGGCTTGTTGTGGCAGTGATGGTTTAATTCGTTTTTCCACTTCAGCAGCACATATATTTTTCACTTGTTCTTCAACTGCAGCTCTAACCAATGAATCACTATACTCGAAACCAACTTCATGGTTATGATGGTGATGACCATCATCATTAATGACAATGAAATTTCTATATTGTGAATCAAGGTCAGTGGTTTTGATTATCCAAAATGCACATTGATTATTTGAGAATGAAAATTGACAAATATAGCAATAACTTAAAAACAATATAAATGCTGGGAATATCCACCATTTGGAATTGTTTAAATAGAATGCAAATGTTCTTATAAGAATTCTTTTGTTTAGAATCTCTTTACTATGATTTAAAAGAATTGCTAGAATATTTTGAAAGCTATTTTCTTTGATCCGATTCCTCCAACCATCAGAAGCATCATTGCTTCCATTACTTTCATCATTAACAATATCACCATTTAAACCATTTGACTGAGTATCATTTAAACTTTTAGTATCCAGAACTTTATCTAAAATTTTATCGTCCTGCTTATTGATTATTTCATCATAATCATCACCATCATCATTATTGTCATCATCTTTTTTATTATTTAATAATGGTAATAATGGTGTTGCAAAAAAATCTTTCAAACTTTTTTGAGAAAGTTGGCCTAAAAAAGAAGTCATTTTTGAATCCGTCATTGTTGTTTCCTCTTCTTCCTCTCCCCCTCCTCTATCTTTTTCATCTTTTTCTTGAACAGGAAACATTCTATTAGAAGAAGATCCCGCATTATCATCTTCACAAATAAAAAAATATGAACCAACTACTGTTGATTGTAATGATGATGGATACGTCGAATTTAGAGAAGAATTACAGAAACTACTACTTCCTGATTCGTCATAACTTATATTATCTTTATTTAATTGGTCGGAATTAAAATTATCAATAGAACTATTATTATTATTAATATTATTATTATTATTATTATTATTGTTATTATTATTATTGTAATTATTATTGTTGTTGTTGTTGTTGTTATTATTATTATTATTATTATTATTATTATTATTATCAGGTTTTTTAATCATATTATTATGATCAGTTTGAAAATTGTTATTATTTTCGGTTGTAGTTCTTTGTTGTAGTTGTAGCTGTCTCCTCGTTATATATGCTGGTTTGAATGCTTTATTTTCTTCAACATTATTATTATTTTTTAGAAAAATATTTTTGGTAGAAGGTTCACCGTAATTATTTTGTCTTGATTTTCGTGTCATTGTGCTATTAATTGATAAATAAATCAATCAATTAATTAATTAATTTGAAAAAAGAAAAAATTTTTTTTAAAGATTTTATATTTTTTTTTTTATATATTATTGTTTATTATTTATATGCAAATTAAGGATTAGATTGTTTTTTTTAAAAGGAGTTATAGAACGTGATCAAGAATTATCAAACATGCTCACATGATGTTATTTTGACATATTAATTAATATAGGATGAACAGGAAAATTTTATTCAATTATAATACTATACTAATCTCGCCACAACGGATTTTTGCGAAGTAGAAGCAAAAAATTTAAAAATCCGTCGTGACAAGAATTTAATTATAGTTCGCTGACCTATATCCAGCAAAAACAACCTTTGAGGTAAATAACAAAATCAAAAAATTTTAAGCCCCAAAAATTTTGGTCAACTATTTATTTATCCCAATTTAGAAAACAAGAGAATTTTACAGCTGGGATACGTATGAATTTTATTGCGTGTAATAAAATGGGTGAATTTATTATATTTTTAGATTTTAATTAAAGAAAGTATCCGGGCACGATTCCCCCATTTTTTTATTAAGCAAATATTTTCACCAGTTAGTTATAATCTGCATGTTATAAGATAATATTATGTAAAAACATAAATTTGGTCAAAAGTCCTCGGAGACTGTTTTTGCTGGAGACAGTCCCATATCTACTTTGTGCAAAATTTCGTACTTCATAATCATAGGTTCAGAAAATTTTCAAGTAAATATACTAACTAATACCAGGACCGAGAAACTTTATTGAATGTCACTGCCAACACTATGTTTTGATAGTACTTTAAAATTTAAAAACGTCGCCGCTCTCCTTATATTCGCATTAACAGGAAAGAAGAAAAGGTCACCGGGCATTTACCCGATATTTTTGATCACACATTTCGCACTCTGCTTGGAGTACTACAGATAACATGGCTTTTTACATGATTTCGTCCGATAAAATATACATATAATGAAATAGAATGATTATGTCTACTAGACGCGTCATTAATTACGTTCTCGTGATATAAAAGGAAATGATTGATGATAATCGGGCCTCAAGTCAGTTCCCAATTTACTATGGTTGGCAAATTAATTGGTTCATTGAGAACTGATTGACTTTGGACTGGTCCATTACCATTAATAAATATTAAATATGGTTAAAGAGTTACACTAATGGGCTCAATGGATCACCAATGAATCGAATCGAATCAAGTTTTAGTATTAGTATTAGGGTGATTCGATTCAATTCAATTTGGTTCAAATCAAACCGAATTCCTGAATTTTTTTTTAATGTCATATTAAAATTATATTAACACAGTGAATCTCAATTTAGTGTACCTCGATTTGATGGATCGAGATCTAAGAATGGGTTAATAATAATAATAAAATACAATATAACGGATTTCTTGATATTAATACTAATACAAATACTAATACTAATTACTAATACTGATATAATAATAACGGATTTTTGAAAAAATTTTCTAATTACCCAAACTATCTGCTAAATCAAATCTTTTTTATACTAACAAACATAAAATAAACATCTAGATCAATCTACTTTTACTTTAAAAACTTAAATGATTTCGCTCAATTTCAGCTATTATTAACAAATTAGTTTCGTCCAAGTTTAGGCCAATTAATTTCGGCAATCTCGGTCATTAGGTAAGGTAGTTTCGGCCACCATCACTAAATAATAGTAAATATAACCAATGAATGATATAGATCAAATGAAATGAATCAAAAATTAGGCGATTCGATTTTCATTGATTCGTTCGGAGCTTTAAGTTAATATATAATTATTAATAAAAGTTTATTATACAATAAAAATACATTTCCCTTGATTTAACAAGTGCCTCGAATAAAA